TATCTTTCATTTGTATGAAAAAATGCAAATCATATATTGTAAGTTCACAATGAGTTGTATTATAAAGCCATGCCATCTAAACTGCGGCTTACGTAGATAGTTGAAATTGCTGCACTTAAATTCCAGTTTACATAACACAACACATATCTAAAGATGGTAGAAGGATCAGAGTTTTGGCAACAGTATTTATGCTAAGTTCGTATGTACTGTACATAGTAGACGGTAAACATGACAGGGGGATACAATCCACAGATTCGTTATCGTATGTTATTAGATAACCGAATGAAGATGTGGAAAGTGTAAAAGAAAGAGAAATTAATTTGCCTCTGACTGAATTTTTAAATAGTTCTGCAAAGCATGTTTTTAAAATTACATTTATATTCTGTATCTATTTACAACGTTAATTTAAAGAAACTTGACATTTTTACGTGATTATAGTGTTCCTTTTTTCATTTTGTATTTACAATATAATGGTTTACTTACTTTTTATATCCAATTTATTCTACTCACTGACGTCATTAAGAAAAATCATACTTATGAAAATTGTATATGCATTCACTATATCTATATCATATTGTTTAACCTTCATGGGTATCAACGATCTCTAGAGTAATGTTCATCGTGCACTTGTCGATCCTAGGAGTAACTCATATCACCCCATGGTTCAAATTCATTCTAAAATTGGGGTCAGACATGGCTGTGTGATACAAACCTACTTAAAAGGCCCGGTCTATTAAAGTCAAATCGTCATGCTGATAAAAGAGAATGACATCGAAATTCAATATCTTCCTTAAATTATTGAAATATAGCAGACCATAGACTACTAAACAAGGCATACATACACATAACAACGAATTGCAAAGTAGGCCATTTTGATATTTTCTTTCAAATAAAAACATATATGTATCAATTTTGGCAACGAATGTGAAATAGTGAATGTTTTGTACATTATATACATTAATGAAATTCGAATTAGAGCGATAACATATTTCGAAATTTGTGGATAGTATTACACTATTTTGTGAAATAAGAAAGTGATATCACGTGTGAAGACTTTCTATTTAGTACGTTGAAACAAAGGAGAGAATGTATACGCACAGGCATGTGAAGGGCCACAGAGAAGGAAGCATGAATTGACTACGAGCCCCTGACTCTGTGTGAGATTCTACTTGGGGTGTAGGAGTGGTAATCAATGTAGGTATAGTATTTACAGTCTGTCTTGTGGTTTCTTTGCCGGGTGGCCACACGAAGTCATTGCACGTTGTTTCACTCACATATGAAGTTACATAATGTGAGCAACAAGAGAAATGACTGTCATCGGGAAGCCAGAATATACCTCTTGTAATTAACCCATTATCTGTAATATCACCCATGACACCAATCTTCCGATTATTCTGGTAACATGATAGTGTGGTTGCAACGCTTCGAGAAGTAGCACGGCAGTGTACTACATAGGGATACTCACTATTTTCATTTAAAGTGATGAAGCATTTTGCAGATCCGGGGGGAATATGTACAACAATTTCCTTCTTTACAGTTTCATAGTGTCTAACGTTCTCAAAACTAAGCCAGACTGCCATTAATACGTACCCATCCTCGTCTAGAGTATCAACGTTATCTATAATCAGATTCACGCAGGGAGAAGTGTCTACATCTGTGACTGAGGTGGAAAATCTTGGTACCTGGGAGGGGCTTTTAAAGCCCACGATATCAGCTTCCCCATCAATGCAGAATGGACGAGGATGAGATTTAAATCCAAGCGTATAATGGCCGCGGGATGTACTATTGGGTGGCCATGGGAGATGGAATGGGACCATACCATGTTTACCTGCTAGAAGCGTTACCCGTTCGGTGATATCACTGCCTGTTACAAGAACCGAACTTCCAGCAAGAATGGTGGCCAAAGCAACAATCACCTGCGGGATGTGTACGAGGGCCAGGACTGAAGGAAACCGGTTAACCGATGTTCGACTTTTGGTCTAAATCAAAAGGGTATGAATTTGAAACAGCACGTTGTTGAAATTTGACATAGTCCTGGAACATCTCATTCAGCGAGGATCTGATCTAATGTGAACAAAAATGTACCACTAGGTCGACACCTTTCCTCACAAAAATAATCTAAGTATTCTGGTAGTTTCATTTCAAAGAAGTCCTCGTGTAAGCTTTGATTTGCACAGATGCAGAACTATAATCCATTGTTATCATATGCTTGTTATACTATGTCAAAACTTCAAGAGCAAGTTATTTAGAAATGATAAATAGCGGCAATACTTCTGTCTTACCCCGATTTTCCAAACTGGGTTTGAAAAGGTTCCTTGGGTGGAGACATGGTTTCCGTCATACAACTTTCGGTGAACGACAGCTGGTGGGTGTGTAGAGAAGCTGTTGAATTTAATTGAAGAAATAAATAGCTGATATAAGGAAAGATCAAAATAAGCCAAGCAAATTCGGTCCGTATTAGTGTCTACTTAGATGATGATATGTCTTGCCTATGAAAAAAAGAATCTCTGTAATATACAAATGTATGTATGAATGTTTACAAACAGATGTACATGTACATCGCAGAAAGCCCACACATGGCCAAAGAAAAATTCCTAGATTCAAAATATCGACTTCGACAGTACCCTGGGTACCCCCATCATGTGTTGCTTCACTATTCCCTAGCTTTTGGATCAAGTCCAGGTAGGTAACAAATCAGAAAGTGTTCTAATCCTGCTAATGTGATGTCAAACATAAATGTCATACATAAATACGCATGAAGACATTTAAATTACCTAACTTATTGAAACTAAAGAAGCCATAACCAAAAGAGAATCATTATTACGTATGATTATTATTTTGTCATCAATCACCAAAATATATCCATTTTTTGTATAATATTTCTGTTCTTTGTAAAAACTTGTCTGAGCCTTTATTTTACATGTGAGCAAACCAAATATTCATGTTGAATGAACATTGGATAAATAAATACATTGAATTGAATTGAATTTGCGTACGTAATGCTTTTATATATTTATAAACGGTTATTCATATATATGTGACCCGGCACCACAAAACCACCAAAAAGTTGCAAAAAAAATATTTTCCTGATTTCATCTGATTATGAAAGAAGAAGTTCTCCTCATTAAAATGGTATATTACTTGTCCAAATTGAAGCTTCCTAACCCTTTCAATTTAGTGAATGAAAAGAGCTGGTGAGGGAGGTTACTGGTATTAAATTGTGAGAAAGAGAGCTTTAAAGTTTGGGGCTATTCAAGCATGCGGAGCAAGCAAACCACAGGGAAATCAATAGAAGGGTGAATCAAAATGCCATAGCAACCACTATGAAGAGATTTTCAGATTAGGCTAAAATTTGGCCTGATGGTCAAACATAGTCTGTTCATTATGTTTCTGAGGTTTCAATGTGTGGACTTAAGTCTTTCAAAAGTTATTATGTTGTAAATGTATAGAGTTGTAATTGGACAGATTAAGTGAACTGCAACATAGTGCCGAGACACCTGCACTGGACAATGCCTATTCATGGTGGACCCGGAGTCTTTTTGTTCCCCCTTACATAACACTGCTTGTCACCTATCTTGTTTTGTATACATCTGGGCAATTATTTGTAACCACATTATGAACTTGCTTTATACTTAATTCCCATACTGTTTTCTTTCTCACAGGAGGTTCAAAGTATTTTTACTATGACTGCGTTGGTGCACCCCGGTACCATCCCACGGCTCTGCTCACGTACAAAACCTGGCATTGTAACGACGTTGTAGACTTTTTCGCAACTTGTCACTCTCAAATGTATAAAATATAATAATGTTCTTACTCTTGATCAACAAATTCTGGATATGTGATGTACAATCAAGCTACTCGAAGTCGTTAACGGAGAATATAAGACGAACGCAAATCTGGAACTCGGATGTGAAAGCGGATACAAACAAAATGGCGCGCCGCACTGATTGCTATAACGGACCAATCACAGCCCGCGTAGCACGACCCGTTAGCAACGACCGACCATTTCCGGACTACGATAATTTCGCTCGGGAAAAGTGATCAAATTTTGGAAGAGACCGAAGGCTGTGCGAAAAAAACTGGTCTAGAAAAACCGTTTAAAACACATCTTCTACTATGTTTTAGACTTCCAAATTTTGATACTAGGTACAGAAAAGACCACTCTTTCAGAAAATGCAAAAAAAAAACAAAAATCTATTTTTTTCACCTAAATTGACATTTTAGCTGATTACGGAGAATCGCTGTTTGCGATTTTTTGTTGGTTTGTGGTGCCGGGTCACATAGTTTGAAGAATATACAAAATGATTCTGAATACTCAATACACATGACAAAACTGTCGTTATTAATGGTGAAACATATGCACCAAATACATCTCGTTCAACAAATAATAAATTGTGCTCATATAAAACAAACGGAAAGTGACTTGTACCTGTCAAACTTCACTGATGTTTCTTTGATTCGTAGATCATTTCCATCGTTCATCGATGAAGAAGATTCCTGACAGGGAAAATCAATTGCATCAAATAAAATGTGAAATTAAAGTGCTGTGAAAGGATATTAACTAAGAAGACGTAATGCCGACAATTCGTTTCGGTAAGCACGAATGCTCTAGGAGGAATTAGCTGAAACAACGAGTAAGGCATACTTTAAAATACATGCATAGAATGAACACGTTAGTGTTTCTCACAACATAAATAGCTGACCGATGTGTAAAATATTATGGTATGTAATTGTTCATTCTCTATTTTTATTATATTGAGTCCTTTTCTCATGCACAGGTATATTGGAAGCAAATTATATTACGGAATCTTTACATTAGGGCTATGTACAAAAAGTCATTTATTTTGCTTTCTACGAATCTTTGTTTTTCATCTCTATGTCAGATGACATTGATAATAGTCGTATATAGATGCTTCAAACATAACATGTATTGGCTATTTTCTTTCCTATCCAGAGTTTAAGTCAAATATATATGCTTTGTTAAGAAAAAAGATTAACATTCAATAACCACTCACTCTCATTTCCTTGTTTTCATTCATTAGTGAGTGACATCTGGATTCCGGTTCTTCAGACGGGTGACTGTCAGTCTCCATGGTATGTAGAGAGGGTGAATCGAATCCGCTGTATTGCCACGTCTGAGGTCCACGCGGGGAAGGGTAGTCTGTGTCATTTCTTTTGGTGTCTCTTGTCTTTGTCCCGGTGCACTTAATTGGCTCCATCTGATCTAGCATCGGATCTTGTTCACCTTTGTCAGGATACTTCAGCTTAGCTTGGACGAAAGGGTTGCGTTCTCGATTGCCACCTTCTGCAGCCTCAGGGATCAGTCTGGGAAGATTCTTCAAGGAGAGCTGATTGTCTCCTCTTTTCGAATTATCAGCTTGATTGCAGCCATTCCCCTCCTCTGTATCATCTACGTGAGATGCTAACTGTCCTATACGAGACTGTGTGTCTGTATCTGTCAGTGATACCGTCATATATCCTCTTGTGATTAGCTTCTGGTGTCCTCCAGGTTCTGGATCTCCTGTTTCTTCCTCATCCGGGTCACCTCTAGAAGGTGAGATACCTTCTATCGCATGTGGATGGGTTGTGTTTGCTGCTGCTCGGAACGGCGTCAGACCATCTATGTCCCTCACGTTCATGTCTGCTCCATTCAATGCAAGGTAATCTACTACATCCTGATGTCCTTTTTGTGCAGCGGCTTCGAGTGGTGTTCGTCCACTTTGATCTTGTTCATTGACATTAGAGTTGTGGTTAACGAGAACTTTCACGATATCCATGTTGCCATTGAAACATGCTGCATGAAGAGGAACCTTGCCACATTCATTTCTTTCGTTCACATCATCTCCATTGGAGACTATGAAGTTTACCACATCGACGTGGTCATACTGTGCTGCGATATAAAGTGGGGTCAATCCTTCAAAACTGGTATCCTTAACTCCTTTCCCTAAGAGAAGTTCGACAACGTCTAAATTGCCATGTTTGACTGCATCATTTACTGGCGTCCAACCTCTACAATCATTCTTGTTCACATCAGATCCTTGCTGAATGAGATATTTCATCACTTTCATGTAACCTCTGCCTCTGGTAGCTGCACCATGGAGAGGAACCGTCCCTTTGTCATTTTCCTCGTTCACCTCAGCACCATTCGATATGAAGAATTCCACGATGTCTGAATGACCGAATTCTCCTGCGGCATAGAGTGGGGTCATACCATCATATCTGTTCTGCTTCGCTCCCTTATCCATGAGATATTTGACGGCTCCTAAATGGCCCTCTTGGACAGCAGCATTAAATGGTGTCCAACCCTTGGAATCACTCTTGTCCACATCAGACCCTTGCTGAATGAGATACTTCATGACTTTCATTTGACCGTTAAAAGCCGCACCATGGAGAGGAATTCTCCCGTCATCATTTTCTTCGTTCACATTAGCACCATCGGATATGAAGAATTTGACGATGTCTAAGTGACCAACATTTGCTGCAGCATAGAGTGGGGTCAGACCAGTGTTATCTTTCCTGTTCACATTGGATCCTTGTTGAATGAGATATTCCACGATTTGCATGTGGCCTCGAGCAGCAGCACCGTGGAGAGGAATTTTACCTTCATCTCCTTCTTCGTTCATATCTGCGTCACAGGTTATGAATAATTTGACGATGTCTACATGACCAAAATATGCTGCGGCATAGAGTGGGGTCATACCATCATATCTGTTCTGCTTCCATTTCTCAGTCATGAGGTATTGGACGGCATGTAGATGACCATATTTAACGGCAGCATTGAATGGTGTGCACCCAGTGTTATCTCTCTTGTTCACATCAGATCCGTTTGATATGAACTTCTCTACGATGTCAGCATAGCCATTTACAGCTGCTGTATGAAGAGGAGTCTGAGCTAAGTCACACTCGACATTCACGTCCGCTCCTTGAAGGATGAGGAAGTCAACGATGTGTTCCTGTCCTTCTTGAGCCGCTGCATGAAGTGGACGGAGTCCATCTTTACTTGGTTTATTTGGGTTTGCTCCATGTGAAATGAGGTCTTTAACACCTTCGAGATCACCTTCTAAAGCTGCCTTGTAGAGCGGTGTGTATCCTTCCTCATCCATCTGGTCTATGTCAGGGTTGAATAGCAGAGAAGATGAACATTCTTCTAATTTGACGCAATTAACATCAGCAGATGTGGCGGCATTCAAATTTACAAGATCGCCGTGTGACAGCTCTTTCTTTCCGTCCTCCATATCTGCATTAGGTCGGAGTAATATAGACGTATTATACAGTACTCTATTTCCTCCATCTGTATGCTCTCTCAGAGCTTCCTTGTGTCCAGTATTCAAAGTACGGGATGTTTGTTGGGGTGGCATGTTTTGCAGTGATGTGATCAGCGGTATAACGGTTCCCTTGGCGCTATAGCAAAAGGCATATTGATATTGTTGAACTCGACGGGATATTATGGTATCTGGCATTTAAACGTATAAACCCTTTTGACGATTGATTTATACTTGTTCAAATAATATTCTTAGGAAGAGATTGAAATGAAGGCAAAAGCAATAGGATGATATGCCATTGAAAATAGGCAATACATTTCCATGATGTCATTAAAGTCTATCACTATCTTCAGGGAAGACGATGGCGTGTCCATTTGTTTTATAAATGGAATGTAACATGTTAAGTCCATTGCTGCCTACTAATACCTCATTACTTATTTATGTATGTACCTGATTAGATCATAGTTTAAGTCCTCGTGGCTATATCTTTTCAAAGGAAATTAAAAACGTTCAAGTTAACTCATTGTGTCGATATTGGTACGTAGAATGTATTGTAAGATTTTAAAATAAAATGTAATATCAAAAGATGGAGGTGAAGGAACAAACAACAAAATCAAATCTTTTTACCCCAACCACGCTAACAATTTGTAAGCGTTATGAAATCAAACCCAATAGAAAGAGGTTCTGTAAACGAGTTTTCAACTGAGCGGATAATTTTTTAAATCTAAAATGGAGTCTCATAGGTGGATCATAACAAGTTTCATCTAAGAGGAGGGCAGAATTGCCAGTGAAATATAATGGGCTTGATACTGAAACGGGTAATCGACTGCTGTGCTAAAATTTACTTCATGTGGGACACGTGTGGCATGACATGTTGCAATGATTATCCAAGTATGATAAATGATTACTGATAATGATGGTCCAAATCAAAAGTTTTCATGTCTGATTTCCATGGAGATGAAATAAAATGTCTAAGCGGAGATAAATAAATTATGACCAATTTATTTCCTATTCATACAAAATACTTTATCCTATTCAACACCGTCCCCCTACACCACCGCCCCTTCCCCCTCATCTCTCTCTAATCACTTCCCTCCTTCCATTGTATTTACTGATACACTAGCGATATGGTTAACGCTTGTGTTATCACCTGAATGAAGTTAATAAAAACAAATATGTCATAATCGAAGCCTACCATTTACTTAATGATGATTGATAAACAAAAGACTTACGGTTTCTGATCCTGAATTCCTTCGTAAAAATCAGCGCCTTGAGGGAGACTCTGCTCATTTACATGTTGTTGTACAAACTCGCAAGCTTTCTCAGTATCCTGAACAAACACAAACAAAACACCTCACAGTTAAAGATGTCATAACTTAAGGTAAGGTAAGGTATTTATTCATAAACATATCGCAGCCAATGGCTGAATTGCTTGCATGATTTACAGAGCTTTGATTTTAAAAACATCGTATTAACAAGGATTTCTCACAGTGTTTTTTGGAAAATGACTGAACTGAGTGAGAAAGGAAATGGTGACTGATATTATTATCATTAAATTCCCTCAAAACCTCAAAATTTGAGGTACTTTATCAAAGTCTTTCTGATCAGTCGCGATGTCAACTCGTTATTAAAACTTTAAATATAAAAGTAAAAAATAGAGGCACATATTTCTAATAAACGAAGCCAAACAAAGCAAGACAATAAATACCGGCTTTGATTCATGAATTTACTTAAGAATTTGGAATATCTATGAACGTAGAGAATAGAGATCAATATATAGATACTGCATGGATTAAATAAAATACACGTCTCAAAATGTATTGATCATAACGAAATGTAGCAAAATTACCTCATTGCACAGATAAAATACAATCAATATTAGTAGTCGAATTATGCCCCCTAAAACTGATTATCTTGGTTAAATATATGTATTGCGATCGGACTTAACCACCCCCCCCCCCCCCACGTCAATCAAAGTTTGGATAAAAGGGTGTCGGAAAAACTGATTTAGCATTACTTCAACGCTTCAAATTTTGCAGATCAAGACGTTCAAATGAAGCCCTGATCAAACCGAACTAGTTCTCACTACGTTCTGGAAAATGTTGACAAACGGGCTCAAAATGTGTGTAAACGGAGTGAGCGTAAAAGCAACTATTTACGATCTTTTTTATAACTTCATGAACGGGCTCAGACTGGCTAGGACGGGAAGGGTGCTGTAAAACTTCGAGCCTGTTCATAATGTTCCCCGTCCTCCAACTAGACGGAGTGACGACGTACTTAAAACGACATGGACGTACTAAAAACGGAATTGCCGTTCTTCGATCCTACTTGGAACATGTTACAACGTGATGTGGTCCAGCATCAATTAGCAAGAACGCGCTGGGTTTGTATAGCTATGGAACCAGGACGGTATTGCACACGCACGATAGGAGCGCGTTCGAACGCTCTAAGAACGAAATCAGGACGAGGTGAACTGTCTCTGAACGGGGTGGTTGGGTTATGAACTGGTAAGAACAAGTTGCGAACTAATCAGACTGGGATTTGGACGTTTTGGGAACGAGGTAGAACAAGTTAATAATGGGCTGCTTGGAAATGTCAAATTTACCCGATCTGAACCCGATCTGAACTTGATATGAACTGACTGTGGACGGGGTACAGACGAGTTAGACGTATTGTGGACTGATAATGAACGAACTAGGATCGTATTAGAGACATTAGTCCAGTTCGAGCCCGTCCATAAAGTCCTTAAACAGGTCGCAAACAGTTGCTATTACGTTCAACACCGTTCGCACACAGTTTGAGCCCGTTTGGCAACATTTTCGAGAACGTAGTGAGAACTAGTTTGGTGTGATGGGGGCTTAAGGGAGTCAATATTCATTTCTTTTCTTGATAATTGTGATTAACCATTTCAGATAATCTAACTGAAAAGTCTATGCCCAAGTAACCAATATATATGTATATATATATATATATATGTATCAATTATGCAAATATTAATTGGTTCTTTCCAAGGAATATGTTTTGTGTACTGAAAAGAATCAATCAAACATTATTGAAATATTTAACAAAAAAACATTTGTATATATATATATATATATATATATATATATATATATGTTCATGATACCAGAGTATACGTTCCTTTATAAGTACTACACTATAATATTGTTCAGTGGGCAACGTTTATTCATGGGCTTTGATAAATGTGAAAAACAATGTCGGTTACCACATCTCAAAAGTCTACTTATTAAACCCTTGAAGCCTTGAAGCCTTGAAGGTCTGTATAGTGTTCATGTATTGAGAAGAAAATTGAAATGTTATTATTTGAATACATATTATAATTCCTGATTCCTGACAATTATTGTCTCCAAGCTGTATACATTTGTTCATTACAATGAGTAAATAACGTATGACCATGCCAACTATGTTTATAATATACTCATATCGTGCATTGTAAAATGAGATATTGTGGAAACCAATAAAGTATCTATCTATCTATCTATATATCCCAAAAGAATTTGAACAAAGCTGAAAATATCGATATCTAGAAGCTGAAGAAACAAATCGCATCGTTGTTGATAAAAGTCTTACATTCTGAAATAACGCACAATTTAGTTCCTGGTTTGGGTAAAGCCAATCGTACATAGCAATAATAATTCAACTTATTATGTCGTCATAATTTCAATGGAATCAGTCAGGTAAAGTATGAAATCTGTACAAATGGATGGGCCGGGGGTGGTTATTTATAGAGATAAGGTCGTCAGTTTCCATGAGCAGGGCCATAATTCGCTGACACCAGACTTGGTGGAAATATCAATAATGTTTGTACAAGCCTTCACACAGCAAACCCATTTGCCTATCACGAATACCCCCCTAGTCTCTCGGAGAATCTACGGGTGCATGTACCAACAATCAAGCCCCAGAATGAACAGCAGGTGGTCTCCATGCACTCGCACACATTCATGGGGAAATACGTGCTTTACAAAATCGTAATATACATCTCTCGCACCAAACATATCGGTGATCGGGCTTTTAATACAATTAACACCCCTGCATAGCGGACTCCCTACCCCTTTTTAATCAAACAGCCCAATTCTCACAAACACGAAATCTCTAATCAAATTTCTAACAGAGCATACACAGTGTGGCCAATTTTCGTTTCACTGATGAATAAAAAATTATAACTATCTTATTATTAATCGGATATTGTTCAAGCTTTTACTAATTTGTTTCACTCATTTGTCTACTATTATAAAAAAAAAACACAAGTGTATATCAGGGTGGAATTGCCCTGTAAATCAGGTTTGATGCGTTATATCGTATCTCTATATAGGCCTAATTCTCACTCGTGTGTATTTCATGTTAGTTTTGGAAGTGGTAAATTCATATTGCTTTTACCTTTTACTTATTTGATCATTTACGTACATGCACATGCCTCAGCTGTGATTAGGCAAGTCGATTCTCTTTCATGAAAGCATTGTTTACTCCTCAGGACAGTTTTATCAGCCAGTTTGTAAATGAGATATATGCTGCCTTCATTCATATTCTAGTATACTGCAACCTTTAGTCTAGCATGGTATCATCTGTGAAATATATTTTGGAAGAATTAGACAGATTTGGAAGCGCTGCTGGCCAAGTGCTCGATAAAGATAATAAAACAATTTTGAATTGGTTTGGTCCTACAAAGCATAAATGGATTTTTCAAGCCTTTGGCCCTTATTGGACAGATGGCTGTATCAAATACTTAGGAGTTTATATAGACACTGATCTAGATTTAGTGGTGAAATTAAATTGAGAAACAAAACTAGAAAAGATACAGAGAATAGTAGACAATTGGCGGAAGAGAAAGCTTATGTCCTTTGGCAAGAAATTGATCTACAATAGCCACACTCAACCCAGGTGAAATAAATGGGGACCGGTAGGAAGTAATTCCTTGAATGCTGTGAGCACCGACATCGGTAGCCTAGCAGAGC